GTATCAGGATTTCTATGGTATATTGACAAGTGGGAAAAAAAAAATTGCAGAGAAATTTATTTAGTATGATCTATTTAAACATAAAAATGACAACAATGCCAATCTTCTTCCCTAAGCATGGGAAAAGTTGTGGTAGGGATATATACCAAACTGTTAATCATTGGGAGGGTGGGGGAGAATAAAGGTATTAATCATAGTTATAGACTGGCAAGATTCATTTCTCCTATACAGATATAAGAAACTTCTATTTTTTTTTATCTTTTCTAGTTAATCATTTAATGATTAATGCAATTTGAAATAAAAATCCAGAGAGGATTCTGTTCACATGCCACATAGATCTCTGAGACAGTACAAAGTTGGTACCTGTGAATTAAAGAAATACACAGGCACAGGCCCCCAAAGAAATTGGCTTCCATTATAATATAAAATCATGAATCTGGACAATCAGTCCTTCTTCCCCACTTTAGGTTGTTTGTCTAGTTGGAAGCAGTCACTAAAAAATTAGATTGTCCACCCATAAATAATAATTTACTATTCTAGAAAACTGTGAGTTAATGTAACAGTATTTTAGAGCCAGCTAGCAATTTTTAAATTTACTTTGTGATAACACAGAAAAATGTGTGGCAAAATTCTTTGATTATCTATCAAAGGAATATAATGCATATTAACTTCCAGTATTTGGAATTAACTAGAATTGTGGTCATTTTCTTTCCCCCTGCAAGTTATGGTTCTCACTGCCTGACTCAAAATTAGCCAAACCTATAAAATTTCATTTTGTCATAAAGATGTTGTTCATACTGCAGTTGTGGTATTATCTTTAGTTAGGTGCCAAGCTTATACTGCAATTTTCCTGAAAGGTTTTCCCACTCTTTCAGAATGTTAGCAGTTGTAACTCAGACATTATCCCTAAGCTTATTTGTACTTTCCTCTCTTTTTCAATCTATTTATAGGCTATTTAGAGCTTTAAATGAAAATAAGGAAGTACTTACTGTTGTTCATTTTTAAGATTTCTAATATGAAAATTACTTGATTTGTAACAAAGTGATCACTGAAGTCCTTGTTATTTGCTGAAAGTGTTGCTCATGGAAAGGGTTCTGCTTGTTGCTTTTATTATAATACAGCCTAATTTGACAAAAGTCAAGGTGACCTCAGAATCCATATTGAATACGAGATCCCATATTACTATTAACCACTTGCATTTTATACTCAATGTTATTCATTAATTTTAGTACATTTCTCTAGTCAAAAGGAATGTAAATAGAAGAAAATATGGACAGGAAACCTATCATTTAACTTACTTCTGCTCTTCAGTTAATTAGAAAGAAGTATATACTGTTATATATTTTTACTGCTTTATCATGAGGAAATGTCGAAAATAAAGACAGTTCACAGCTATCAGATTTTAATGAGAAAATCATAATAGCCTGTAGTTTATTGAGCATTTACAGTATGTTGGGCCCTGTGCTTTGAACACATGTGTACACTCAGAACATCTAGTGTAATGAAGATGTTAATTTTTTGTCAGATTGGTCCATGTTTTACAGATACTGAAAATAATACATAGAATAAGTCATTTGCTATTTTTCGTAATAGATTAACAGCCAATCCCAAATG